CATTAATTTCATGCCTATACCCCTCAAATTGTAAGCTGTTCGGCTTTTAATTATTGAATTCAACCTTCATTGAAAATTTTGAAACAAAGAAGGAAAAATCAATAAAAGGAAAAAAGAAAAGAAGGAAAGATATAGTGATTTGGGTTGTGGAGAAAACAAGAAGGAAAAAAGGAAAAGAAAAAAGAACGCTATGAATAAAGACTGGAACTTTAGGATCTATGTGAATTTTTGAATTGAGAAGGAGTGAAGCAACATGTGAAGTTTGGAATTGGGGAAGAGTAAAAATACAATCACATAGAAACAAAGAGTGAAAAGGAAGACATTTCCAAAAAGTTTCACTTCAACCCACTAATTTTTTATAATTATAATTTTGGCTTAGCCTTGCTAAAGGGCATTTTGGAAAAGAAAATATGAGTTGAAGAGTAATATGTGCCTTTTTCACCACCATTCACATTTTCATTGCTCGTGGATGTCATTTGCTGGCCATCTAGCCTATTTTTTAGCATCTTCCAGTTTAGACAAGACCACAGGGAGAGCCATCCGGGGCTTGGTCTGGTGGTTGAGGTTGCTGAAGATGGAGTCTTAGGTTTCTGGTTCGAACCTTGCTGCCAGCAAGTTGTGGAAGGTGGGGAATAATCTAGTGGGTCCATTCCTCGCGGGGCACACCTAAAAAAAAAATCTACGGGGTCCATTTCTCGACGAGCTATCGAGTCGAGTTCGATCTTGGAAATATGATATTCGACGAGCTCTATCGAGCTTTTTATAATATATATTTTAATTTTTATTATTGTGAAATGTCAATAATATCCTTTATTTAAAATTATATATAAAATATTAATTTTTATTACTTGAGCTTGATTAGGCTTGATTGAGCTCGAATAAGCTCGATTGAGCTTGATTTGAATTAATTACATTTAATTAAACTTGAACTCGAGTTCCATAAATTGATGTCGAGCTCGAGCTCGAATTTTAAAAGCTTGACGAGCTCGAGTTTAGTTATTTTTCTTCGAATCGAGTTCGAGTAGTGAACTACTCGAGCTCGAGTCGGCTCGACAGCAGCCCTAGGTGGGAGGTTAAAAAAAGGATGCCCGATTAACTTTAGGACCATAAACAAAGATATAATACCCAATAACTAATAAAAATCAATTTCAACTACAATATTCATCCTAATTTCGCTTCAAACCAAAAGTTCATAAATACATACAAAACAAAAAACAGGCAATATTCACAATATTGTCTCTTTCCCCCTCGATCTAAGAGGACTAGCAGCATCCTTTCTTCGCTTTGCTAGTGGTAGTAACATGCCTATAAATATCTTTAGTCTTGAAAGAAGGCATTTGCATCTTCTTTTGGTTACAAGCAATGGCTTGCTAATATATTTCACTTGAGACTTAATTTGACATGCCAAACATTTGATACGTATTTAGATAATTTGGGATAGATCATGTTATAAGATCCATCTCAACCAATTGTTCAGTCTCTTGCATCATTCAAAAGAACAATTAAAATTAGTTAACATCTTATTAATTTGTCTATGAACGTGACTTGTTCGGTTTTGTTTTTCTAGAAGTTGCTATTAATTGGAACTTACTTTTACCATATTGTCTTCTACAAAAATTAGCAACATATAATATAAATTGAGAATGCATTATAAAATAGCATTGAAATAGTAGAATGAGCACTCTTTTTTTTTTTTGTTTGAAGACTCATTAGTAGATATATTGGCTTTTCTTCATACCTACAACTAAACTAAAATGAATAACAACAATTACACATACCAACTAATAAAGTTGAATGCGCTGACAAATAAAACATACTTGCAGTTGTTTTGGAAGCCTTATCTATGTTATGCTATTTTTTCTCAAATATTTGTAGAATAGGTAAAGTCACCAAAGGATTACTCAAACCTGCATTATATTAATGCTTGACAAAGAAATGCCATTTGCTCTCATATTATCACCTTAATATCCCCTAGTTGGTATTGAGCTTTGTATGTGCTAGAATTTTGTTTAGAAGAAAATCATCATAGTTTGACCTATATCATTTACTTCTATCCCAGTAATACCTATTAGATCCCCTTTTCTGCAAATACAATTTTGCTTCTTGAATTGAATGGAAAGCATTCAGGTGCTCTCTCCATATTCCTTTACATTCTCTCAAGAATTTTCAAGACAATAAAAATAATGTTTCCAATTCTCTTTCACTAGATTCTTGTTCCTTTCTATTATTTGTATCATGTATAGTTTCAATAATTATTTATTGGCTTTTCTCTGGTATCCAATAATGTATTTCTATTGAAACATTGGCAGATGTTGTTCAATAACATGAAGGGTCTGTTTGGTTGGAAGTAAAATGTTTTCCTTGAGAAAATATTTTTTGTGGAAGTAATTTTCCATGAAAATCATTTCCCTTTCATCATTTTTAGGTGTTTGGTTAGCTTATTGAAAATATTTTCTTACGTCATTTTTCTGGTGTTTGTTTAACTTTTGAAATATTTTCACTTTTATCTCTATCTTTACTTTCTACACATTATAACTACATACTTCTTCCCATGCAAAATAAGAAAATTTATCTCATTGTTTAACTTTAAAAAATCTTGGAGAAATGTATATATGAATAAAAAATATCTTCTTAAGCAATAAACAAATTGCTGGCCATTTAGTGTCAAATATCAATCACATGCAATGCTTATTATGACATTTAGTGGCCATTTTCTTTTGTTTTGGTGATGAACTGTGCTAGTGTTTTTTTTTTTTTTTTGCAATAGTCCATAATGTGCACCTTAAAACTTACTCTTTGGAACCAACAATTGAAAAATTACTATGCAAATGTTCAACATAGAATCCATAGGTTGCATTTGAAAAAAACATTCTCATATATTTGGATTAATCCTTTTTGTTTGTCGCTTATTTTATCACACTTATAATTTCTTTCAATTTTCAAATCTTCTTTTACTAGTCTAAAGAACAAAGCGCGTGATTCCTTATTTTTATTCTTTGCTGTAGCATAAAAGAACAAAGCGCGTGATTCCTTATTTTTATTCTTTGCTGTAGCATAGGCAATAGGAAGAATATTATTAATTTATTGTCTGTACAACTATCAACAACTTTAAAAAAAAAAAAAGTGCCATCTATTCTAGAGAAAAGTCTACATCTAGCCAAGAACCCATACTTGACTCCAGCGCTAGTTAAATCAGGAAGTTGTACAATCTTTACTTTTCTTAGTTCACATTCTAACACTTTTACATTTAGCAACAGCACAACACTCAGCGCTTTACAATTAATCTTTAAGTTGGATATATTCAATATTAGTTTTGGTTCATAAGCTGCTAGAAAATAAATTGAGCAATGTCAAAATGAATTGCAATGCAATAAAATTCAGTCACGAGAGCATAAATTTATTCGATCGATAGTATAAAATTAATTTATGGCTACGAGAAAATTAATTATAATTATACACACTGTACCCCAATTTGTATATAATCTACTAGCTATGTATACAAAAAAAATGTTTATTTTACCAAAAATTGATCAACCAATGCAATTAAATTAGAAATCTAACACGTAATAATTATGAGTACCGTTTCTTGGAAATTTATTCATGGCTATGAGGAAAGTGCTCGTAGCTCTTGAAAAAGCACTGGAATACATGAGCAAAGCACTATATAAATAGTTTGCATACGTGTCATGTATCAAACCTATGTCTATAAATATTTTGTAATTGTTATATTATTTAAAACCCTTTATTATTATAAAAAATTATATGTTTTATCACTCGAGTTCGAGCTCGATCTCAAATTTCTTCTCAAGAGAGCTCGAGCACCTTATATGTATTTTATACAAATCGAGATCAAACTTCAAAGTTAAACGTTTGTTGAGATCGAGCTCAGGAAATGTACTTCGAACTCGAACATGAATACTTTTGACTTTATTCATTGTTACTTCTAATTGTCCAAGCTCGATCCACCTAAAGCTCATGTATATGTAAAGCCCAATGTGGGCACTTTTTTTTTTTAATATATAAATGTGAGGCACTTATTAATGCAGCTTCGGGGTCCACATTGGGTTAATCCAAATGAAATCTGAATATTTACTACGTCTAGTCTAACGGGTTAGTCCATTCCGATAAAACTACAATTACCACATCTAATCAATTGACAAAATCAATTTTAAATTCTCAGCTTATGCTTTTAAATTTGAACTGAAAAAGTCGCATTAGTACAGTTGATTATATGATCAAATCCAGACTAATCAAGGGTTAGTCGTCCCACAATTTCATTTTTTTTCTTTCTCTGGTCTAATCAAGGATTTTTTGTCTTCTATATCATGACTTTAAAATCAATGTAACAACCAATTTTGTGTCGGCTTATGCTTTTAAGTTCTTACCTGCACCATAAAAAAAAACCCATTAGAGCAATAAATTAACAAAAGATAATCAACCTGATTGAAAGTCGTATTAGTAGAGGTTATTATATAATTAAATCCACACTAATCAGGGGTTCCATTTTTTCTTTCTTGTGTCAAAATCACATTAATCAAGGATTATATCTTGTATATCAAGTTATGGTCGTTTCTAAAATTAATATTGTATCTTTCCTCCTCCGGTTTCTAAATTTTCTGATGCTCAAATCTTGTTGTTATCACTGTTAGAGTATAATAGTCGTCACAGAGGTGACAAACAGGATGAAAACAACAATTACATTATATTGTAACTAGATGTTATTCTACTCTATCCTGGGGACCAATGCATGTATACGTCTGCCTTGTTTGTATATTTTATTTTCTGTTTTCTTAGCTCAGCCAAGTCTAGTTGCATTAGTTTATGTTGAAAGAAAATTTGCAAGTTTTAGGTCAATTGATTTTGTCACATTTGCAGTAGGTGAACTTAGGTCCACTTTTTGTTTGCTGACCTGCTCCCCAAGAAAGGTCCACTTCTCTCCTTTTACTTTATTTGCCTTCTTTTGTCTTTGTTTTCTCGTACAATTTTTTAAGCTTCTTTTCTCGTTTTATTCCGTCTACAGTTTCATATTTTCTTCTGTGCTTTTGGATTGATTTGGATTGGGTTTGCTTACCCTTTTGGCACCCTTGTGAGTTTTTGACCACGTAATTGAGTATTTTGGTGAATTAATCGTCAAGTTTTCTTTATTGATTCTTCTTTTTTTTTCTGTTTACTCATAACCATGTATCCATTGTGATCGCGGGATTTTTTTTCTCGTGTCGATGGATGTAGTTTGCATGTAGTAGCAGCAATGATCGATCTTTTCCTGTCGAATTTCGATTTTGTTAATATTTTCTTTGCTTACTGTAAAAATAAACTGAAATGGATAAACAACGCGGAAAAAGACTTGATCTCCGTTTTCTGTTTGGTTTTCATTTTTTTTTTTAATTTCTTGTTAATATTTAAAGTTCTTTGAAGGGTATCTTCAAAGATAAAGATGTGTTCTTCACTTGATGAAGGTTTTGGGCATGATTAGTTGTTCATGTGGATCTTCTCATGGATCCTGCAATTCTTTTTTGGGTATACTGTTAGAATAAATCTTTTTGGTGTATAATTTGCAGTTTTATATTGTTTCTTGCTGTTATTACGGCGGAAAGTTGGCAGAGAATAAAGTTAAAGATGCTTTTGTGTATTGTTGCCAACAATTTTTGGTTCAGGGGTTGCCTTACAGTCTGTTGTTGAAGTGGAGACCATTTCTTTTTCACTGTTATGCCGTGTCCATCTCATTTCTTGTCAAGATGATGATGATATCAGTAAATTTGTACCTAGTTTTTACTCGTTTATATTTCTATGGACCAGAAGAATTGGTAGATTGCAGTGAGCATTTAGTTGACAACAAGGATACTAGTTTATTAGATAAATCAAGTATATTTTAATTTGGCTGCTTGTTTGAACAGAATGAATCTTTAATTGTGTTGCCATTGGAGATTTGGTATCCTGAGTTTCATGTGTAGGTTATCCAGTTGGTCATTCTGCAAACTTTGCTATCTCTTCAGCCTCAATTTTTTGTTTTCAATTTTCTAGGTCAGTCGATTGTAAGTGTCAGAAAGCAGGGATGGACAGTCACAAGGTTGAAGATAAAGAGGTGAATTTCTCTCCTACATGCTTAATCAAGACTAGTGACATGATAATGAGGTTCCTCAATTTCAGAGGAATCGCTTGCTATTGCACTCTGATGATCTATCTGTCAATTATTTTGCAAAAGTGCAAATTGGATTTTGCTATTACTTTTCTGCAACTGCCTTACAGTTCTCTGTAATGAGGAAGATCTCAACTCTTCTTTTTTACTTCTTTTGCATTCTAATTTTAGTTTACTTCTGCGTCCATGCTTGGTTGTCATCTATCATGTTTCTAGTCATTTACATGGTCTACACAAGCTAGTCAAAAAATTTGTCCACTCCTAGGGCTTTGTATTGAAGGCTTGTGACTTTATGTTTTAGCTATTTTTGTCATTTCCTACAGTCCTAGATTAGTTTTACTTCCAAAAATTTTCCATGTGTAAGTTTCCCTGGATATTAATGTTCTGGAAGGTTTGGGAAGCTCTTTCCAATCTTGAGCTCTTTTCTGGGAAATATGTAAATCCCGGAGATCCTGATGAGACAAGTTTGCCACCAGAACAGTCCAACTTTACTCCATCAGTTTCCAAACTTCTTTCATTTACACAGGCAGATATTGTATTACCTTCCTCTTTGTTATCCACACACATATGGAATCAGTAGAAAATGCTAACACACAGCCTCCTGATATTAACACAGCTAGAATTTCGTCCAGAAGATTCAAGTCACGTCGAAAAGCATGGAGTTTCAGCAGCATCTGTGGAAGCAGTATGTATATGTCAAGCGCTTGAATTTTTTGGTTGACAAACCAGTATGGAATCACAAGCACTAAGTATCATTAGATCTTTGTTGTTACAGCTGACTTACAAACTTAACAATATCTATCATGTTTTAATTCGACTAAAGATGGAACAATTTCCAGATGGATTTATAGTTTCCTGTACATATCTAAATACAGAACGATTTATTGACTGATCGTGGATTTGCATTGTATTTGATGATTTTTGTTGCTTGCAGAGTCTCCTCCTCTAAACAATCTAAACAGGGTAAATGTGAACCAACTTCATCAAAATGCTCATTGACAATAGAAAAGCAGAACTCTTTTGGCCCTGATTCTCCCAGTCACAATATTGTTGATGAAGATCCATGTCATGACTCACACGTTGGTGTGGAATCAATGGATTTGCGTCTTGTATTGCCTTCATGGTCGATAGAAGAATCCAAGGTTATGGTTCTTGTATCTTAATCAGTGACAGATCTGCTCATCCTTAATTTTTCACTGATGGGAGTAATAATTTTGTATGTGCCTTGAAAAATGAAGTTGACATCATGCACTAGAGTCCAGTCATCTCTTGAACCCCAATGCAATAAATTGTTCATCTACTAATTTTACTTTGAAAATTATTTGTGCAGATTGGAAAAAGGCAGAGAAGGCAAACAAAGTTATTGGAAGAACTTCCTCTTTTGTATGGCTAATAAATAACTAATGAACTCTATGTTGTTGTATCTTTGTGTGTATTTAATGAGAATATACTTCTTAATTTTTTTTATATATCTATATTTGTCAGGAATTCAATTTATGGTGAGAACTTTCTCCTCAATTTTAATTCAGGAATTGATATTTCAATTCCACTCAGGTAATTAAATTACCACTCTTAAATTTTACTTTTTGGATCCGATATTGCATATTTGCTCTTTCAACTCAGGTTTCTATTATGTAATACGTAGGGTTCTTCTGTCCAAAGAACATTTAAACGATGAAAGGGCGATTCTGAAGATCAATTGGACAGACACACAGGTTGGCATCCATATAGAACCCAGAAATGGAGTAAAAAGTCTATTGACCTTGTATGGAAAGCTTCAATCAGCGGTAATATCTCCAAAAGAAGCTGTGTATTTCCTTCTGAATTCCACTACTAACTAGTCTACTGTCCAAGACTTCCATGAAAAATATGTCATCTGAAATTTTGAATTCAATAATTCCAAAAGATAATAAGATAGAATTTTGATTTATGTATTGCTTTGAACCTTTATGCAATCTTTGTTTGCGTGAGCCTGCAAGTTTATTTGAAATATTTCTTCTACATTTTATTTGCATGGATATTTTATCCTCATAGTTACATTGGATCAATGGTGATATGTTTTAGGCTAAGCGAAAGCATATAGAAGGATCGATAATAGCTATACTGAACGCGGTGCGGGAGGCATTCAATTTTGGCGTAAGTCTTGAATCATGAGCTGCAGTTTTATTCTGAGCAAATTATTCGGATGGCCGCTGAGCTTTTGGAATCGTCGAGTTTTGGTCACTGAACTATCTAAAGTTTGGTGTTTTGGTACTGAACTATCTAAAATTTAGATTTCGGGTCATTCCGTCAGATTTAGTTGTTAATTATACCCCTTTCTTTTGTCTCGTGAATCATGCGAGCACTCAAATCTGTCATGTTTAACGATTAAATATACGGAATGGCCCGAAATCTGAACTTTAAATAGTTCAGTGATCGAAACCAGACTTTTAATAGTTCAATGGTCAAAACTCAACCATTCCAAAAATTTGGTGACCAACTTTAGATAATTTGCACGTTTTATTCTTGGTTTTCATAGGTTGTAATAATATTCTCGAAATTTGTACACAGAAAATTCCTATAATGGTGGGGCACATAATTTACCCAAAGTATGATCGGGACTATATTCAACATGAGGAAATAGGTACTTGTACTTAAATCTTTTGTAAGTTATAAATGAACTTTTGTATTTTTCTAATTTTAGCAACAAATAAATGCAGGAAGTGGTTTCTATGGAAAGGTGTATAGATGCGAGGCCAAACTTGAAGGCACGGATTGTGCTATTAAGAAGATACTTTTGACCAAATCAGAAGAAGTTCAACGTGTGTTTAATGAAGCCAAAATGCTCAGTCTCGTACGACATCCAAATGTTGTGGGCTATTATCAGGTTATTTAATTTTTGTCATACTTTCTAGTTTTCACGACAAATACCAAATAATATCCAACCTTATGTAATTTTCTCTTAAAATGCAGTGTTTGTTGCTTTACTTTTTTTTGTCATTCTCATTGTAAATAAGTAGTTAAGAAAATTGTATATTTGTTTTTGAAGGCATGGATTGAAGATTACAGAAAACCAAACAATTCTAAGACTCGCAAATCTTGTTCCTCTTCATATGGCCCGAGGCAGAAGATGATGTATATTCATATGGAACTTTGTAAGGGGGGGTATGTTCTCATTCTTACTGATTCTCAGGTTTTATTTTATTTTTTACTATGAGTTGGATCTTGCATGACAGATACGCACAAAGTGGAAATTAAGCTTTAAATAAATGTATAGGTCATTGGCGTCTAAATTAGCGAAGGAGAAGGAGCTACGGACGGATATGGCATGGAGTTACTCTCGGCAGATTTTGGAGGCTTTACAGTGCATACAGCGCAAAAATATTATTCATCGGGACTTGAACCCGAAAAATATTTTCATAGACGACAGTGGAACAGTGAAAATTGGGGATTTTGGATTAGGTTCATTTAAATAAAATTTGGTGCTTTACAAAATTGTATCTGGGTAATGATTTGGTTGACTAATCAATTTTTCCTACTTACAGCTATGCGTAAGGATGAGGATGTCAGTTCGAACAAAAATTTGTCACCAGTTGGTGCAGCTCTCTACCGTGCACCTGAAATGAGAAAGGGGGTGTGCATCACCAACAAGGTGGACATGTTTGCCTTGGGGTTGATTCTATTCGAGCTGTTTTGTCCCCGGGGACGTTCTGAGAAAGTGATCCAAATGTTGAATGGCTCGGAATCACCCTGCGAAATTTGCGAAGAGTATAAGGTGGATGAAACTGCCAAGCCCCTGATCTTGAAGCTACTTCGGACAGATCCATTGAAACGGCCTTCTGCTGCTGATCTTCTACAGGATTTAGATACATTGGAGGTAGATATTCTTGATAGTTGTGTCTCAATATGAAGGATGTGGAACTCACAATTTTTATGTGTTCTACTTTGCTAGTATGCTAATGCATCATAATCTATTGCCTTAATTCAGAAGTATTAGTATTTATAAAGAAACTATGTTGATTTCATTTGAATACTTTCCAGGGGAAAAAACAAGAAGTACAACTACAGAAACTTTCATAGCATTTTGAAACTGACATTTAGCAACTGCGATGGGCCATGCAGTTGGCTGTGCCAAAACCCTACAAAATGGATGCTGTTTATCACTGTTTGACACTTGCAGAAACTTGCAAAGTTGTGCACATGGTGCAATGTCACCTAGACTCCTTTTTGATATTGTATAATGAATTTGTTTCTGCAACAATGCTATTTTACTGAAAGGAGTTTCAGCAACTTCCTTCTAATCCTTGTCTCAGTAAAAAATACTGAGAAATTCTTTCCTTCTAATCCTTGTCTGCATTCAAGAAGTTAAAAGTCTGCTTTCATTGGTAACTTTTGTATTAGGTGACAAGAAAGAACACTCAGGAAACAGAAATACAACAAAGACCTGAGCAAGAGCATATTCAAATAGAGAGCCAATCCAGTCTGATGATAAAGGTCCATACGCATCAAGATAAAAGGCAAAAAACAGTGGGGATTGGAATCACAGCAACTGACTCTATGGGACATCTTCAAGCAGGTTGGGCACTGAGGGAAAGAATGTCAGCAGACCCATTGCAAGACAAAGCTGTTGCTGTGAGACTCGCACTACGGAATGCGATCGACCAAGGATGGAGGAACATCAAAGTGGAACTGGATGATAGGGAGCTGGTGGAGTGCATTAAGGAAACAAGGAACAACAAGTCAACAACCAACTGACGGCTACTCTAATACGCGACATTCAGTCCATAAGTAATTTGTTTCATAAGTGTTCTTTCTCTTTTGCTAATTCAGGGTATGTAGAAAGTATTAAGTTGAGCTTGCATGCTCTAAACATCGTTTTAGATGAAAAATGGGTGAATCCCAATCTTAGGTGTTAGGCACCAATGATTTTTGTAGGACGGTTGTCCTTTTGATTGGACCTTTGTCCAAATATTGTAAAGTATTCGGTTATAAATATAAAGCTAATGTTTCGACAAAAAAAAAAAGAAGGTAACTTTTGTATTTATTCTTTACTCTTTTATTTCATTCTACCACTTACATCTGAGTGTTTGCCCCTTCATTGCTGTCGCTGGCATAGGTTTGTAGTTGTTTTTTCATTTGTTTCAACTATTAACTTGCAATTGTGGCTTTGATGGCACCAGAGAAAAGGAGCCTTATACTTTGATAAAATTGGTCAGGCTGCAAACACGAAGGTTCAAAATATTCCCATAGAGAATACGTCATTGCGGATCACAAACCTCACAAGTTGGAAAATTGTCCAATTGAAACCGGTTCGTATAATTATTAGTACGTTTAGTGTAAACTCGTTCAGATATTGCATAATCTTGAATTTTATATAAATTTAATTACATGAATTGACAAATTCAAGATTACGCCGATTTATATGATTTTACACCATTCGAATATGTCATCCTGCATTGTGAAGCACATTAATACGTTTACATACTGTATTAGGAAAAAGCAAATTCCCTGAACGTGATTTTTCATGGAATTATTGAAATTTTTAATTGGTTTTAAAAATTGAGACCACGTTTCATCCATTGTTAAGTCTAACAATTAGCAATCTTGTGTAGAACTTTACACTTGGATTGCCCTTCAAAATTGTTATTATCCTTTTTTTTGTCTAACAAGTAGCAATCTTGAGGAAGTTAATGTTATAGTTGTTTGTCAAACTCATGTCAATGAGAAAATCCAATTAATTTCTCTAGTTCTTTTTTAAGACAATTGCTGCAACTCTTTCAAAAATAAAGCTGAATTCTTTTCCGTTAATAAGTAAATAATCTAGCAACGATTGCATAAGTTCAATTTGAGCCATTTTCATCTCCTTGTAATAACAACAAAGAATTTGAAGGTTTGAATTGTTAATAGGAAAGTTTATTTCTTTCTACCCACGTACTTTATACTAGAGGTGGCAATTGAGATCAAATCCCAATAAGCTACCCATGCTCAAAGGAATTTTGGGCAAGACGGGATCGCTAGATTTGATATTGGGTCTTAAATGGGATTAATCCCATAAATACCTAACAAATAATGAGAATACTTGGGTATTACTTAGAACACGTTAGGACGCATCATATACTACAACTACCTTAGATAAAAATTTAGTCCAAAATATACAAAAAACTAAAATGAGGGGATTTTTACGTAAATAACTCAATATTAATTAGTCTAAAAATTTAAAATAGAAATTTTACTTTAATTTTTTTGTGACAAACAATTTCTTACTAAAAAAATTGTAATATGACTTATTTATACTTGTTTCTAACTCTACGTAAAGCAAATGCTTTGTTGACAAGTACATGTAGCTATTGTATTATTCCAGTACTAACTAGTTTATTGAAGAACTAACATTGTACTATCAACTATTTAAAAAAAGGCTTCAATAGTAAATCATCATATACAAGAATTTAGCTACAATGATTTACAACGTAGTATTTAGAGGGTGCAAAATGTTATCCATTTCAAAAGTTATAAACTTTTTCTCTTAGGCTCGATATATAAGATTTAATAAGAGAAGAGAAGGAAGGGGGGGGGGGGGGGGGAAGCTATGTGCCAATCATACTATAGGGAAACAAATTACATGCAACTATGTCCCGCTAAAGCTTACCCAAAGCCGTACATTTTTTTTTTTTGCTCTTTACCCGATTTCATACTTCTTAGACATTTATATAAATTATATTGCCTTGCACATGAAACTTTTAAGCAAAAACAGATATAATTTAAAATTGGGTAAAATGTGACAAATTGCAAGGCTACATTTAGAAAACCGAATCATCTCCTATTACTTATTACATGATCATTTAAAACACCAACTCATGATTTTTACTTGTTGTAAAGTAAAGTTCTGAGAATCACGCCTTCACTCCAAAACTTAGGGGATTTTTTAATGAAACTGCAATTTCTCCTCCTTTGCTCTAAGCTCTTGTATTGTTCTCTACAGAAAAGAGGGAAAAAAAAAAAAAAAGATGGTTCTACCACATAGAAGCAAGAATCCTTTTGTAGATAGCATTTCTTCTAACAAAGAACTGAGCGCCTTTGGAATTCTTTCATACAATTTCGCGCCTTTGCTACACGTACGGCAGAAAAGTGGCGTCAATCCTATTCCCGACTTTTTGCTATTACATGCTAACGGTTTTCTCTGTTTTTTGTTTTTTAGAAGCTAAATAATTGCTACAGAAATAAGGGTATTGTTGAAAGTTGATCCCTGCCGGTGGTGACATATGGTCCCACAATCACTTCAAGAAAATTAAGCGCGAATTTGAAAACGTCAGGAGAGTAAAGTGATATTTTATGAAACCTCAGGAAAGGTTTCTGAAATTATCCTTTTTTAATTTTGTTAAAGTTGATTCTATCACATTGACTCTCAAGAACAAGAATTTTCAAAATAAATAATGTGTTTCCTTTTGCGATTGACAAAAAAAAAAAAAGAATGTAATGGGCGTTCTAAAAAAAAAAGGTTGCAAAAGTTAATTTTGAGCAACTAATGATCAAATAATTTGCATAAATGAGCTTTGGGTATTTTAGTTAATTATCCTAACACTTTGTGGGGATTTATTTCAGCATGGAAAAAAGTAGCATACAATGAAAATAGCAGTGTAAATCCTACAAAATATTTTGTTCAAAAATTACGATTAAAAATTTGGCACAAAAATATGAGTGTTTGGTGTGTTTTGGATAAATTGAAAAAAATAAAATATTAGGGAGTAAACTGCAAAACACACCAACTGGAAAACACATCAAATAGAACTATTAATGGGATCAGGTCAATCCGATCTCGATCGGATAAAAAGTCCAATAAGCCTAACTTTTGTTGGGTTGGGCTGAGTTTGAATCTAAATATTAGATTCAAATTAAATGTGAGTTGAATTTGGGATTTTTAACCTAAAATCCTAAAAGGCGCAACCCACTAATCTGAACATATATATATGTGTGTGTACGTACGTATGAATAATTCAATACATAATACATTTATACTTTAGTATATATAATTATATATCCAAACAAATACATAATTACTAAATATTAATACTTGTATGTCAAAATATATCAATATATATTAGAAATATTAAACATAAAAGCTGGATTTTGATAAACTTATACAATATACAAGCCCTTAAGATTTGTCTTTAAAAAAAAAGATTGTCTTTCATGAGTTAGTTTTTTTTATCTTATTAATAAGATATCATTATATAATTGATGATCAGTTGGTTTGTTACGCTATTCTATAATACAATTGATGATCAGGTGGCTTCTATCTTATAATAATTTGACACACACAAAGGTTGTTGAAAAATTCTTGGTTCAAGTACTTTTTAATGAACTGTTACTGGTTCATGTATAGTTTTAATGTAATTTATATCAAATTAGCTTTACAACCTAGTAATTATAGTAATTATATTAAGGAAATTAAAGATTAATAAGCGAGTTTGGACTAATCCCGAATTAGGCTCAAAATTCTAATATTTTGTAAGTCAAATATGAGTTTCACATTTATTAACCCGAATCTCATGATCCGGAACCTAAAAGTATTATTAATTAGATGAGTCGAATATGAACTTATTAAAATCTAGTTCAAATAACCCGATTGACAGACCTAACACCAAACCTTTGGGAACTTCTTGTCATTATACCTTCGTTTTATTCACCAGATTTTTTTTTTCTTTTGAAGCAACAAACAATAAGCATTTTTGTTCCTTCGTATCCTCAAAAGCAAGGAGCGTTTTATTCACTAGATTAACTAACTACTTAATTGCTAACTGGAGCTTAAATGCCATCGTTTCACTAACAATCATTCTAAAGTGTCAAAAACTACATCGTTCACCAGATTAACTAACCGCTTAATTGCTAATTGTAGCTTAAACGCCACTGTACCACTGTCTATCCTTCTAATTGTCAAAAACTACACGCACCAATGCTTTTATTCTTAACAACTTTTTAACCTTTGTCCTAACCAAACATATCGCTATCAGGGTAAAAACCTCGCCATCGTGTTCTCTAAAAAATTGAGATTTACTAATTTATCACTGCAAAAAGAATTGATATTTATTAATTCACCGCTATAAAGGCACTTTTTTAGGTAGGTAAGTCCTTCCATCTTTTCTCCGAACTTCTTTGCATGGTTGTTGTCTTACAGCCTCATTGCCGCCACCTTACCATTGATAATAGTAGAAGCCGCCGCTTCCTCTTCGTTAGTAGTAGAAGTCGTCCCTGCTCTCCGTTAGTCAATGTTTTGAAACTCAAATCGTTAATTGAACCGATGAGATGTTCGGATCGAGATTCAATCAATCGAACCTATCCAACTCTGGTTCAATGAATTTTTTAGAAAATAATTTATATAAATATATATATATATATATACACAAAAAGACATGTAGTTGACTAATTCAAGATTTTATATGATGAAAAATTTAATATTTTCAAAGAATTTGGATTTTCAAAAATAAAAATTTTAAATTATAAGTTGCAACAAATAAATTTCATCTCAATCTAAATTGTATCTACAAAAAGATAATCTTAAATTCAATCCAAAAATACCACAATGTTATAAAATTATACATAATTCATGTCCATGGGAATTAAACATTGTGAGTTTCAATTTTTAATTCACATTTTTGAATTTAGAGATTGCAAATTTTTTTTTAAAAAAAAGAAGTTTGGAGTTTAGAGGAAGTCAGGAAAATAGAAAAGAGAGGTGCAAACTTGATAAGAGGCAGAAAAATGAGAAGAAAGTAAGTGCATGTGACATTTAATAATTAGTCTTTAGGGTTAAGGAAAACCTATTCTTTATATATATATATATATATATATATTTTTTTTTTTCAATTTAATAGACAAAAACAAAAAAATCGCCGGTTTAACAGTTCAATCTGGTTCGCACAGTTCGAACGGTTTTTAAGTCATGTCAACTAGAGGTATGAACCGTATCGAAGCTATGACCGATTCGCGGTCCAATCAGTCGAACCGGCTGGTTCGGTTTAGTCCGGT